TTTTTTTGAACGTAAAAAACGAGACAAATGTCAGCCTACAACCATATTCTTGAACGCCTCATAATTTACATATTAATTCATTGTCATTAGTTAAAACTTACAGTAATTATAGTGAATAGTTTGGCTCATAATGCAAGCTGACTGGACAAAATTAAAAGTGATAAAAGCGACAGATCTCTTTCAAGTTTAAGTTGTTTTCAAGTACAGCTGCAGTRCAAGAGTCGACAAATTATAACCATGTCTTTTCAGGATAGCAAATTTTACCTCAGTGTAGCTTGAAGAATTTCATCACTATCTTCTTTGAATGGTACAAAATTTGAGTAGTTAATTTTCTCAAGACGGGTTGAAAGCTTAGGAGCAACGAAATTTTATAATTATAAATAGCTGAATTCGTCTCTCTAAAACTGCTCGACAATTAGCCGGTAAGACTTGCGTTTGTTGTGTGTTTTATTTTATTTTTCGTTTGTTTGTTTGTTTGTTTTTTGCTGAAAGAGTAGAAATTTCCCCTACACTATAGTTGGCTCTTTTCCTCCACATTCTATTCTGTTTTTGAATTAATTTTCTTGCAAAAACCACTGTTTTAAACTTCAGATAAACAAAAACATTCAAAGTTCCATAAGCTTTGAACTCATTGGCGAAAACTATAAAAAACAAATTACTTTCTTCCACAAAACATAGTTTATTACAAACTTGAATTTTTCTTCGAATCATATTTTCTGGCCTTCCTCGTGTTTCAACCAAGAGATGTTGTAGAATCTTTGCAAATTCACTCGAAAAAGCACTGGTAAAACATGAATTTAGAGAGGCCATCTTTGTTTCAACATTACTCGGAGTTTTGAATGTGAATATGATATGATATTTCGAGTTTTTTTAACCACTATTAGAGCGCGCTTTCTTAGGATGTTGGCAATTTGTTATACACAAGCTATTTATGCCTAAACGTTAGCAAACAATATAATTTATACAAARTTATATTCGAGCTTTCAGAGTGACATCTTTAAGAATATCATAATTTTTTTGTGTCAGTGATATTCGAAATAAGTAAATACGGTCGTTTGGCACGCATGATTATTAAGATTACTATATATAGGGTGCAGCTGATTTTAACAGGAAGGATTCTTTTATTTTTCTGTGCAGGTCTCTTCCAAAGGCGGTCATCTGCAACTTAACACGTACAGACGATTGAGTATTTTTTCGCTGTCCTGCTCTATCAAACACCAATCCTAAGTGTTACGATCTAAGGTAATATTCTTTCTCATCAATGTAATATTTTTGAAGCTGTATTTCAGCCCAGAATTAATATTCGCCGCTGATTRAAGCTTTTGAATCGCAATCCTCATTTTTGTCTTAACATCAAGGCCATATCGTATTCGTGGGAAAGTAGTAACAAAATATTCGATAATTCAAATATGTTAAGTTTGCTTTCTTGGAGCGTAAACACAATCAATAGACGATCAAGATGTGACTGAAAGAAAAGTACGAAACAAAAAATATCGGCAAACATAAARACCAATCAAGATGTGACTTAAACCACTTTGATGGAAAGGGAGAATGTAAATGAACAGCGTAGGTTTATCGATCAATGATGTTTACGRATACGTGATCCCACACACCGCGGCACTCGTTAAAATTTCAGTTAACATTTCGAGGACCAACTTTTTGGTCCTAAAAGAAGTCAGAAAATCGATTCAGTAATTAATAACTAGCCGATGTATGACATTTGCTATTTTCTTTACTATACTTTAAATCAAACAATTTTATTGCTCATGTAAAAGCATCTAAAATAGAATATATCAAGGTCTTGGTGTTCTTTTCTTTAAGTAATGACAACTGASAAATATGGAAGTTCTTACTGTCAAAGGTTATTTTAAAAATGCTAGCTTTGTTAAACAAAATTACTTAGTATGAATYAAACACATCCATACCCAAACCTCAGAGTCAATCGGCGCAACCAACAAAAGATCGAGTATAAAAACACGGTRTAATTAAGTCACAGTTTACAAGACATCGATAGAAAACATGATGATTCATACTGGTTAAACTGAATGCATTAATGGCCGCCATTTACTTTCWGAAATAATAGCTATTCTTTAAAATAAACACCGCCATCAGAAACAGCAATATGTTTTTTAGAAAAGTTTTATGGCTACAAATCGAATTGCAGTGAAGTTATTTGGAATCAAAATTAACGAGGTTTTTTTATGTGTTCAGTAAACTGAGGCTGACTATCGCCTTGTTTTAGCGTTTTTCACATTTTTAGATTCTCATCACTGCTAAATAAAGAGTTGAATATTTCTACCTTAAACTGTTAAACTTGATCGTGTTGATAATGTTCATATTAACAGGGCGCTTATTTGCATTTGGCATGCGTTTAATCCGCTGAACCGTATTACATGGCCACATACAATATGCCATAAAAAGTTCTAAATTTAAGCTAAGGAAAGCGCGAAAAGTTCTTCGAAAAACCATAAACAACTATAAAAAGACAGCTGAAGGTTTTTATTAAATTTTATTTATTTATTATCAGAATTTCAACTTCTKAACGTTTATTATTGGGCTTCCTTTGTTGTAAATATTACATTTTTCTTCGCCAAAACACAAAGTTAAGCAACGTTCCCCAATTTTCAAAATAGTACATTTATATTATACATTACCCAAGTTCTTATAATCAGTTGAAAAGTGGTGGGTGTCGACACTTGATTTTGCGAAAACCATTAAAATGCTGTACATTTATCTGATTTGCACATTTGAAATAATTAGGCATGTTTACGATGAGTTATTAATCACTGAAATCATTCTGATTGCAAAATTTTCGATTTTCGGTAAGCTTTTGATGACTAAATTCAAAGAATATAAAGAAATAGAAACCTTCGCTACAGAGACAAATATGTAACAATAGAACAGTTCGTGCATAGTGCATGAATCATTGCATGGTATCTAGATGAGAATAAAGATCATGGTTCCCCAATTTTTAAAACAAATCGATYCCTATACACCTAAACGGCAAGCATAGCACATCATTTTAATGTGAATCAACAGGTGGATAAGTGTTTTGGAAATATCTGAATGGGAATTACATCACACAATTACTCAAATTTTGACATTCTATAGCTGTTGTTACAAAGCGTTGATTTCATTTATATCTTAGTCAAATAAATAAATATGATATCAAGATTAGGGAAATACAAAGTGTTCGTATTTTACCTTGCCCTACGTACCGCGTTGTTTATTGGTGATTCGAAACGATAACAARCTGCAGCCTACTGTTATGAACAGATGTTCTTCGAACGTCTTCAGATAACCTTTGCGTTAAGCTTTTTCCTTCTAAATTCGTGTTGATATAAAAGTCAGTCCTTAACACTATATATCCTGCAGAAAAAATTTTTACCTAGAAGCATWTTAGTGCAAAGAAAAACGTTTGTTTATAACAAACTGAACAGAGCAGCCATATTGCTCACTCTTTACATGAACGTGGACATGCGCAGTCAAATTAGCGCCCTGTTGTTAATATCATCATAATCTATAATYCAAATGTAGTGCCAAATTGCATTCGGTCTATTCGATGGTTGTTGTTATAAGTGTTTAGCAAACCTCATTTTTAACTCGTGGATACGCGAAGCGTAGAAACGAGTTATTGTGAGGGGTCTGAYATGCAAATGTGTCACTCGCTCACTCACTTACTAAGGTGTTGGCAGATCGATAATTAAACGTTTATCGGTCGTCTTACGTCATCTGCTTACGAACGTTGCACGACATAACAAGCACATATCTCTTATTCAGTATAGACTGCTTTGATATTTATATGAGGAAATGAAATACTGATGTTCCATGTGGGATACTTGTGGCACTGTAGACCCACTCACTGTGCATGCACACACTCACACATAGTTTTATCTTCAGATTATTTAAATCAAAAGAATCAAGAGAGATGCAAGTTGAAGTAAAATAATACTATTAACGCCTAAACTAAAATTCCTATAAGTGAAACCTTTTCTTCCTGATGTGTTAAAGTAAACAGAAACGCTTATGCACAATCRTCAACATATTTACATTTTTTCAAAACACTCGTAGGTAGAGCCGGAAGCATCGAAAAAAGAACTTTTCATTAGATTTCAAAACAAGAGTCATGGAGCYTTAAAGAAAGTTCGGCTAGTTTTGTCATCCAAATCATAAGCCGTTYTGAGTAAAWAKTAGATTGATCKTCGGATATCACAAACAGYTGATGCAATGTATTTGTATGTTAATAACACTTGCGAAGGTACAAATCTAACTAACGAGAATTCGCTTCAATAAATAATCAGTAGTTTACAGACTTGAATGAAGTCAAATGAAATAATATTTCTAAATGAATTTCTATGAAATATTCGCTTTGTTCACAGTGTAAAATAAAGTGTTTCATGTGAAAAATTCAGGCATCAAATCGATTGTAAGCGCCGTGACCCTAGAAGTAGTCAAGATAAGTAGTAACGCATAACGCAACGCCWTTTGTTAGCAACAAAGGCTTATGCGAATGATTCCTGAMMTWAAGCACTCGGCTCAAYTTTTAAATTAAAAACAAAATYCAGGATATGTCTTTCAGAAGACTTAGCAAATAGAAGTCACGTCCGTYGAAATTGAAGTCCGTCTTTCGTAATTSAACACGGTACTTCAGAAAATAAATTCATCACAGAATTCGTTTCGCTTGTAAATGAGAATGAATTGCCGGTGTGTAATACGCTCACATGAAACTTCTAATTTTATTCAAAGTAAGTCTTTTTCAAGCCARCCACCTTTTTATTTTATTTTCCAGATGAGTACCAATAAGACGATTTTTGTTTGCCTACTTTCGTTTTTGATGGAGTGCGGTTTTGCACCGGATGCCAAGCAGCCCCTTTACATAGGTTCTATTTCACCAMTGACCGGCACGGGCAAGTGGTGGGGGCGCGGTATCCCGTTGGCAGCTCAGATGGCTTTTGATATGATAAACATTGATACAAGCATTTTGAATGACTATGAATTGAAACTAATTTCCAATAATTCAAAGGTAAGACAACTCGTTACGCACGATTATCCTCTTCCATTGTAATTTGTATTTGAAGGAGGGGTACCACTTTATAGTTCGAAGTAATAACTTCGGCATTGTTCAAATCAGTAAAGCTATCAAAGCTCTCCGATTCAAATCAGTAAAGCTATCAAAGCTCACCCGAGTTGTCAATTGTGCGAGACAAATACCCAAGTTAAAATTTGTCATCAGAAGGCTTATCTTTCTTTGGGAAGATGGCAAAGTGTTTGATATTATTGTTGTGAATGTCCTTTCTACGTTAATTATATCCATTTTGAAATCACTGGTGATTTCTGCAATCTGATTGGCTMYCAGCAGTGCCATTTGAACACGAATCGCACCATTTTGAGTTTTAAATGGCAATGTTTTGAAGAGCCAAAGGAATTGCAGAAAACATGATATCAATCAGAATACAGAAAAAAGAAGCAATAAAAAAGCACGAGAAAAAAAGGAAGAGTTTTTTTTTTGGAAATAAAGACAGTTTTTTTCAATTTTATACTAAAATCAAATTTTTAATTTAGTATTGTAGGCGATTTGAAAACGGATATAATTGAAGGTAATTGAAATTTATTTTTAAATTTTATGATAACTAACGATATCCAGGAACAGTACCTATATGTACTGGTTTTTTTTAAAAAGTCTGACAAGAATCGGCAATGGGGCTACACAATCCCATCCAAAGATGATTCGTTTTTGTACTTTTGGTCTTAAACAGGGAGAGACAGGTMGTGGAATTAGAGTACTGTATGGTTATCTTGTAAACAGGCAAATTCTGATGCTACTTGGTCCCATGCGTTCTAATGTAGCTACTGCAGTCGCTGACACAGCAAAGTTCTGGCAATTGATTCAGGTATTAAGATCGAAGGTCCACTAATAGTGAGCATCGGCCGGTCACGGTCAAAATTTCGATTTTGCTCATTTTTGGTTTGCTGGAAGGTATTACCAAGTAAACAAACGTGGTGTAGTTAGTTTTCCAAAAAAACNTATTTACATTTTTTCAAAACACTCGTAGGTAGAGCCGGAAGCATCGAAAAAAGAACTTTTCATTAGATTTCAAAACAAGAGTCATGGAGCCTTAAAGAAAGTTCGGCTAGTTTTGTCATCCAAATCATAAGCCGTTTTGAGTAAATATTAGATTGATCTTCGGATATCACAAACAGTTGATGCAATGTATTTGTATGTTAATAACACTTGCGAAGGTACAAATCTAACTAACGAGAATTCGCTTCAAAGAATAATCAGTAGTTTACAGACTTGAATGAAGTCAAATGAAATAGTATTTCTAAATGAATTTCTATGAAATATTCGCTTTGTTCACAGTGTAAAATAAAGTGTTTCATGTGAAAAATTCAGGCATCAAATCGATTGTAAGCGCCGTGACCCTAGAAGTAGTCAAGATAAGTAGTAACGCATAACGCAACGCCTTTTGTTAGCAACAAAGGCTTATGCGAATGATTCCTGAACTAAAGCACTCGGCTCAATTTTTAAATTAAAAACAAAATTCAGGATATGTCTTTCAGAAGACTTAGCAAATAGAAGTCACGTCCGTTGAAATTGAAGTCCGTCTTTCGTAATTGAACACGGTACTTCAGAAAATAAATTCATCACAGAATTCGTCTCGCTTGTAAATGAGAATGAATTGCCGGTGTGTAATACGCTCACATAAAACTTCTAATTTTATTCAAAGTAAGTCTTTTTCAAGCCAACCACCTTTTTATTTTATTTTCCAGATGAGTACCAATAAGACGATTTTTGTTTGCCTACTTTCGTTTTTGATGGAGTGCGGTTTTGCACCGGATGCCAAGCAGCCCCTTTACATAGGTTCTATTTCACCAATGACCGGCACGGGCAAGTGGTGGGGGCGCGGTATCCCGTTGGCAGCTCAGATGGCTTTTGATATGATAAACATTGATACAAGCATTTTGAATGACTATGAATTGAAACTAATTTCCAATAATTCAAAGGTAAGACAACTCGTTACGCACGATTATCCTCTTCCATTGTAATTTGTATTTGAAGGAGGGGTACCACTTTATAGTTCGAAGTAATAACTTCGGCATTGTTCAAATCAGTAAAGCTATCAAAGCTCTCCGATTCAAATCAGTAAAGCTATCAAAGCTCACCCGAGTTGTCAATTGTGCGAGACAAATACCCAAGTTAAAATTTGTCATCAGAAGGCTTATCTTTCTTTGGGAAGATGGCAAAGTGTTTGATATTATTGTTGTGAATGTCCTTTCTACGTTAATTATATCCATTTTGAAATCACTGGTGATTTCTGCAATCTGATTGGCTMYCAGCAGTGCCATTTGAACACGAATCGCACCATTTTGAGTTTTAAATGGCAATGTTTTGAAGAGCCAAAGGAATTGCAGAAAACATGATATCAATCAGAATACAGAAAAAAGAAGCAATAAAAAAGCACGAGAAAAAAAGGAAGAGTTTTTTTTTTGGAAATAAAGACAGTTTTTTTCAATTTTATACTAAAATCAAATTTTTAATTTAGTATTGTAGGCGATTTGAAAACGGATATAATTGAAGGTAATTGAAATTTATTTTTAAATTTTATGATAACTAACGATATCCAGGAACAGTACCTATATGTACTGGTTTTTTTTAAAAAGTCTGACAAGAATCGGCAATGGGGCTACACAATCCCATCCAAAGATGATTCGTTTTTGTACTTTTGGTCTTAAACAGGGAGAGACAGGTAGTGGAATTAGAGTACTGTATGGTTATCTTGTAAACAGGCAAATTCTGATGCTACTTGGTCCCATGCGTTCTAATGTAGCTACTGCAGTCGCTGACACAGCAAAGTTCTGGCAATTGATTCAGGTATTAAGATCGAAGGTCCACTAATAGTGAGCATCGGCCGGTCACGGTCAAAATTTCGATTTTGCTCATTTTTGGTTTGCTGGAAGGTATTACCAAGTAAACAAACGTGGTGTAGTTAGTTTTCCAAAAAAACGCTAAAAATCTGAGAAATCCGAATAGGAATAGGAAGGAAGGAAGGAAAAGCAAGGGAAAAATGGAAGGAAGAAAGGAAGGAGGGAGGAAAGCATAAATAGAAACGAATGAGAAAATAGCGACCAGAAACAACAAACACTTGTCGATTTCAGTCACGGTATGTCGAAAATACCCAACGTTCACGGCCTCCGTATGAACACAAAAAACAATAACCCAAACTGATTTTTGGATAAGTTCTAGAAGAACACCTAAATAGTTCATGACGTGAGTTTCATTGAGAAAAAAAGTTGCGCACTTGATTAATTTGGGGGGGGGGGGGCGTAGCAAGGGTCAAATCTATGTGTGAATACCACTCAATTCTAAATATCATCTGACCGCTTTCAGTAAATAGCTAAAATCATTATTTTATACCCAATCAAGTCTCAAACATCTCTTCTATCAATTTATAAACATWTAGTTTTCATATCTTTTTCCTATTCTGTATGCGTTAGTTGTTTTTGGATACTTTTGAGATTGCCTCTAGGCCAACAGTTTTTCTTCGGATTTCTCAGAATTTTAGCGGTTTTTTGAAAACCTAACTACACCACGTTTGTTTACTCGCTAATACCTTCCAGCAAACCAAAAATGAGCAAAATCGAAATTTTGACTGTGACCGCGAATTCTGGATTTTGCTCGATATTATTGGAAATTTGCTCTTAAGGATGCTAGATGCTATTTAGATTATCTCTCCATCAAGGCACGTGTAAGACTTGCTTGTATTATACTTGTTTTGGTTTTCCCCAATCTCGTACCCAGAGCCCACGTTCCTCTTCTCAGTACCGAGAAACGAGAGGCTCTGGTTGTAACCGAGTTTTTGATCATTCCTATTGGTCCGGGGGAAAACAATAGAAAGAGTCGTTCCGGAAATAAAATGGCTAACAGACTCCAAAATATCAGGAAATAAGT